ATCAAAACATCTATACAAAGATGAAAGAGTCTGAAATTTTGAACCGTTTGTCGTGTTCGTCGCGGAGATTAACGCATGCACAATGCGTTTAGTTTGTCCTAACCGCGTATTTCACACGAAGCCCTACAGGAACTTTGATGAGTGGTGTCTATACTCCTTATTTAAATTAATTATTCTTTGTTGCGATTTGGGGAAGTTAGGTTTTTTTGAAACGAGGCACCTATCCCACTGCGGCATCTATTCCGGTTTTACCCTACTATAAATATTGTGCGAGATATACGACTGCTTTTTTACAATTTTTCTCACTGTCAGGAATAAAAGTCTTAGTCAAGAAATAACAATAAGTTGATGTGTGTTAAAATACATATTACTTCTATTCAAAATAGTGTTACATGTTCAATAAACACAGACAATAAAAATTAAATACATTTCTTTTTAATACTTAATATTACGTATACTTACTGATTATTAATTTTCATTCCTTATAAATCACAAATACTTAAAAAACAATATTAAAAACGATAGGAAAATGAAGCACAAGTTTGCCCATCAAATTATGCATAATTTAAAATATTGAAAGAAAATCAACTAAATCTGAAAATCGTAACAAAGTCATATTAAGTTAATTAATAAAAACAAACATATAAAATCATCAATAAACTATTTTTACTTGAGTTATTTTTGGAGGTACGTCCAACTGAAGTAATGTACGTTACATAAATAAAGGTACCCTAATTTTTGTTTCAAACATTGGGGGTGTACTTAATATATATATTGTAACTTTTGCTTCTACTTTTAACCTTGACAGTACTTTAAAGTTTTTCTGTTTTTCTTTGGTTCGAAACAAACAAATTAAAAAAGAAACAGGTTCACAGTCGTAACGACGAAATACGCAAATTAATAGTTTTCATGAAACTTTTTAGTAGCACAATATAAAGTAACAAATAAAATAGTTGGCGCAAGTCGATCCCGCAACCTTCCCACTGGTGCACCCGAGAAGGCCACCGTAGGGCTTTAGCCAATAGAAATCAGTCATTTTTCCGCTGTCCTCGAGGCGGAGAGGTATCCTAGGAGGATTTCCAAATGAAAAAAAAAAGACCATTTAACTCAACCTTGTTTGGAACTTAACACAAAAACAAATGGAGTTCACTTACATTGTTTTCGTCGAACACTCGAAAGACTAATGAGGCAAACTTGCTAGGGTCACCTTGAGGAAAGAACTGCTTGTAGATCTTTATGAAGCCCTGCGAATGAGAAATATAAGTATATAAGGATACAATTAACATATAAAGATCCCTACGTGTTGCATTCGTATTATTTGTGATGTAAAGTACGTTTCATAACTTTAGATCCGGGTTCATCAGGGTACGTATACATACATAGTAGGTCACTACATGAGCAGATATTTAATTAAAAAATACAGGATTACTTTCTAAGGTAAGGTACGCAGCTAATCCGGAAAGGCACGACATTTTTCGCAATTACTGAGTTGGAAAAATATAATTACTAAATACTTGAATGAAACTATAAGCAACTATTATATATTTAAATTAATTTATCTAGGTAACAGAAATATTCAGTAATAAAATCTTCATTTACAAACTTCCTCATATCACCAATATATGTAATTCATACAGAGTAGAGATCGAAAGTCTCGATATCAAAATAAACAATCATATAATAGTGCCATTGTACACATATTTGTGATTATCGCATTGCCACCATCTTCACACACCGCCCAAGACACGACAGTCAAGCAATGTCCTTACTTTATTTTTAACCTGACATAACCCGGTACTTTTCGGCTTACACTGTAAGCTTAATACGTATGAAACACAGAGTTTTTCATTAGACTGAAAAAGACAGGTGCTTAGTATGATTATTTTGTTTAGTAAACGAACCTGCTCTTGACCACTACGTAGGCCTGGAGCATTGATAAGGTCTATGATGGAACGAACTCACCCAGATGCCTGTTTAGTTGCACCTATACTCGGGTTGTATGTGCTCGAAAACACAATCGCAAGTAGGGAATTCCATTAAAAATATGGCGAAAAGCGCAAAATTACTTAGGCGGTATGGGCTTAGGAAGCTGCTACAGGCCGGTTTACAATGCCGAGGAAGTTTGTTAGGCATTTGGCGTTCTGTTTTGTTTTGATTTTAAACAAGTTGAGTTGTAAGTACTATGTGGATATTGTACATTAGACAAATAAAGAAATAAATATATTTATATATAATATATTATAATATTATATATAAAGTCGTCCGTTAGTGTGGTGCATCAAGTACATAAACAAAGGGTGTTGTCATATCTAAAATAAAACAAATTATATATATAATAATCAGGTCCATACGTATCGTTTAAATTACCTGCTCAGTGAGTAGGCCGTTTGGACAGTCCTTTAGGAATCCTTTGTGCCTGTAAAAGAGGGCAGATTTATATAAAATTAAATTTAAACACTAGTTAATACTGATATTTTATAATTACGTAATCAATAAAGGAACAACTACGAAAGAATTAAACTATTTTATCGAAATGCTAAGAAAAAAGGTAAAATTAGTTTTACGACTTACCAAAGCCGTATTTCTTTCTCGGTAACTGCAATAAAAGAGTTATAAATATTTAGTAAAATTTATTACACAGCGAACAACATTTTATTATAAGAACAAAGGCAAAATTATAGTTAAAAGAATTCGTTAGCGTCTTCAAATATTTTAATTACAAGTTTGAATAAAATAAATTCATAAAGTTTTTCAAATTATAATAGTGGCCTATCTAAGTCTAGAAATAAAATCATATTTAAAAGAAACTCTGATAACTAATTAGTATATAACCGGACTGATATCTACAACTGTCAGTTTCTTAACGTTGAGCCACATCTAGCAGCCAAAAAAGAATTTCAGTACCTACGGAAGGGTACGGTCCACATTAAGTTAGCTCACTTAATATCAAATGTACTTATTTAACCAATTTGTAATAAGAGATTAACTACTTATTTACAAAAACTTAAGTTGAAAAGGAGCTCCTTTTCTAAAAAATGGTAAAACTGACAAAAAGTTCCCGAAATCAGGGATAGATGGCACGTTTCTCAAAAAAATTATATGTGTCCTAGTTACCAGTGCGATAATCTGTGGTATATATTAATTAACTTAGTTTGTTTGTTATGGCTTAAGTTCCTGCCTTTTATATGCTCAAAAGGCAGTATAAAAATAATTTCCTCTGAACTTTCGTCACGTTACAAACCCACGGCACCATTCAGCCTTTGTATATTTCAGGCTTCTGTAGTTTATTTTCATATAATAACATGTGTGTAAGTATAATACTTTATAATTACATAGTTAATTCGGTAAACGACTTTTAGTTCAAGATTTAAGCAACAAGACTACAGAATTCCATGTAAATAAACTTTATGTCATTACCTTTTACAAAGTCTTTATGACTACATACTCTCCCAGAAAATAAATATATCTATTCGCATTAAATTACATATTCAGAGAACAATTTAATAGAGTGCCCATAGGGTAACTCACAAATCACGCTGTGCCACGTAATTATATTATAGCGTTAATTGGAGAACACAAATTTATTATGGTCTAAAAACGTTTGCCACCAAAAACAATCTAAAATGAAACTTTGAAATCCTCACGTGATATTAATTACCTTTTACGAAGTCTTTATGACAAGCAAGTTATGATTCAATTTGAGACTGTCACAGCTCACAACGCAGTTTTCAACTTATAAAGTGCATTCCTTAACGTAATTTGTAATGGCGTACAATACAAAAAAGAAACAGATTTGTCTGTGAATTTCGTCGTATCGCAAGCAACCATAGATTTAGTATATAGGTACCCATAGATTGGCAATGCAAGTGAAAAAGCGTTAGAATACACGTATGTTAGAGCGAGATGGGTAGACGAGACCACCTCATTATACGCTATGAGCCTGTATGAACCTAGGATCAGCTGACAACGAACCACATTTCGTTTATTTTTGAAAAATAATTGGTTTTAAAATGTGAAATAGTGTTAAACTGACGTTTATTAGTCATGGTAACGTGTTCAGTGCCCAGATATAACTCATCTAAAAAGGAAAACTCGCAGAATTGTACATTTCACATGTAAGTACTATTTAAATTTTTAGCTGTCTAAAAGCACTACCACAAAAGTTTTTAACATAAATATATCCGTAAAATTATACCATTCAAGTGCATTAATAACCCAAATGTATACGAATTCAATTAAAAAATATATCAAATACGTGAATTTCTGGAATTCATAACTCCATTTTCATAGAGATTGACGCAATCGATAATATCTTATCGAGATGTCATTAACTGAATAAAAGAAAGGCAAAGGCGTGTCTTGCATACAGCCGAAATCATCTTCATACTTAATATTATTGAATCAGAAATTTCTGGTTTTAGTACTTCATATTTAATTAATATTGCATTAGTGCATTATTTTTTGTCTACATTAAAACGAAAATTTCTTTTAATAGCGTAGTTGAGGCACCCATTTTTTTATGTTAATTATTGTTGTTGATTCAGATTTCCTCAAAACATTGAAGTACAACAGAAATGGCTTATAATGCTAAAGAGAGAAGACTGGGTTCCCAAAAAGTTTTCAAATATATGCAGCAAACACTTTGAGGAAAATTGCTTTTCCTTTAGAGGCAAGCAAAGAGTAAAGCTACGTTCTGGTTCTGTACCCACAATATTCATATATATATCCTGATATTGAGGTCTTCTGAGTGTACCCCAGTACCTGTTCCTGAATTTGTTTTCGATCCATCAGTGAAGACGCGGACCTGTCTGGGGTTCAGTCCTTCGTTGGGATCTTCAAACAGTTATATCTTGTATTTTTTGTCAAAGATGTATTGTTTTGGGATCGTATCCATAGCCGCCTCCAGTAGCGGTTCCTCTTTAACAGTCTTATAAAGAATTTCTGTATGAGGGGTCCTCATTTGCTTTCAAAGGCCTGCTCTGTTTAGACGCACTGCTGTTGACGCCGATTCCTGTCTAATGAACAGTGGAACGAGTCGCAGGTCCAGCATCGCTTCGAGGGCCGCAGTTGGAGTTGTCCTCATGCCAATCATCGCCATGCAGGCTAGTCTTTGGAATTTGTCCAGCTTGTCAGTTGCGGTCGTCAGCTTGGTTCGTGACCACTATGTAACTGATCATGGTCATATCACCGTTTTGTAGAGCCACAGTGTTATCTTGGGTGAAAGTCCCCATTGTTTACCATCCTGTGGCACTGCCAGCAGGTGATAGTAGCTTTCTTAATTTTGTATTGAATCATTAATTCATTAACGTCTCGGCGTTTTGCGATAAGACATTTTGGTGAATACGACGAAGTTAAATGCCGGTGTAATATGTTAATCGATATTAAAGTTAAATCAGAGGATGGCGCAACACTATTATCTTGCAACACATGCACATATACGCACACAGATGTATTTTTGTTTCGGTCTCGTCTCCAATACTTCAGGGCCAATCTATGGATATACTAAATCTACGCAAACAACACGCATGAGCTCAACACCAATTTATCTAAACTTCATCTTGTTGTGGTTGTATAAAACTAGATATGTTTTTTAAGAGTAGAAACTGTTATAGAGTTAGCAGTCTTAGTTAATTCCTCCATAAAAACAATTTGAATAATTAAAATGCAAATAAGACTTATTGTAATCTACTGGAACTCTATGAAAGTGTAATTTTAGTTCAAAAAAGATCTTGAGATAACATTTACATGAAATACACTATAGTGAATACGTATGCAATATTTTTCATCTATAGGTAGCCTAATGGAGACTTATTACAAAACTTAAGTCTTAATATAATCCTTTTATAGATATTGTGTATAATTGACACTATAGTCTCCGCTCAATTTTTAAGAAGATTTCAGATCATATACAACGACGTATGTCGACAACAATGAACGGATGAGACAAGAAGTTAACAAATTTAATTGAAATTAAATTTGTGTTTTTTTTTTTCAAACAAACCAACGTTTCGGGCTCTTTACAGGTTCTATGATTACAGCTGGTTGCTTGAATAAACAACAAAGCATAGGCGATTATAGATCCGAAAAAATTTTTGCAGTTTCTAGATAAACAAGAATTATCGCATTTTTAACGTAAACTATACTTGCATTTTTATTACCTGATGTTAGAGAAATCTTATGTTCCTTTTAATACGACTGAAATTACGCCACAACCACAGCACGTAAATTATCACGAGATTCATCACAGTGATTTATAAACTCATGTGTATTTTGTCGATCATGCGCTCCCCTACTCACCCCTGTCGCACCTCAGACGATGACTAGCACTTAAACTGTCTTTATGTTATGCTAAATTTAATATCTACACTAAAGGGACTTACATTATTAATTGAAGTTAATAATAGACAACCGAAGCTATTTTCAGCAAAAAAGAGATTAAAGTGAAAATCATAATGTCTATGAAAGTTGATTTTCAGCCCACTGTGGGGTTGGGCGAATCGGCGGCCTCGTCGTCGGATTCGGTGGTTGGGTGTGAACCGATGGCGGGCGACTGAACGCCGAGCGCTGACCACTCCCGCACCTTGTGGCTCAAAAGCGGCCACTGAAATGTTTATTTTGCGCCAATATTATAAAAAATGTATGCAAAATCTCGTCCGCAACGCGCGGTTGTGGAGGGGACAACAAACGAGACCGCAATCAGTCTACTAGGTCTCGATAGAAACTGATGGATAATATAAAATAAGTTTACATTGCGTTTTTATAAATAAAATTATTTACAGTATTATAAAACTATGAATAAACTAGGGTTTTCCTTTATTTAGTAAATTCTGTACGACACCATCCAGTCAGAAACCACCGAGAAAAATGTTCCAAGGTGGACATTTTGCCAAGGTAAATATTAAGAATATACTCTATTCCTTGATCATTTTGGAGTAATTATTTTAATAGAATTTTAATAATTTTCTTAGTAAATTAATTTTCAAGTAAATTTGTTTATAATAACTACGCTATTAGTGTTCTGAAGTTGTTCTGTGCCATTTCTTTCGCTCTTAAGGTGGTTCAAATCATGTTCAAATTTTAGTGAATTCGATCACAGGCGACTGTTTATTTGCAATGTTTTGAAATTAGAATTAATTTAGGCTTTACAACAGTGTAAATATAAGATTTATTCATGACTGTGTAAGTAAGTTCCAATACCAATAATATAGTATAGTAAACGCCACAGTTTTTTTCCTTCAAATCAACGTCAAAATTGTAAGTGTTCATAAAAGTTTTCTAAGTTTCTTATAAATTTGACTCAGTCTTTAGAGTCAGTCTTCTTATTTAATTAAGATAATATACAGGTAACGTAAAAAAGACAATAAGAGCTTAACTACTAGAAAGTAAAACTAGGATTTTTAAATTATATGAAAAGACAAGATGACAAGACTATGTCTAACCCAAATCACACTAAAAACCCTTGCCCCTTTATACTAGAGGTTATCTTTACAACTTCCTGAAGATACCTTCAGGGACAACTTACTCTTAAGCTAGATTATCATATAACAAAGATATTCTAAGATGTGCTATTTGGGAATGTTCTACTAAGTACAAGAC